AAAAAAAAAAGAAAAAGAAAACCTGGTAGCTGCATCCTCTCAGGTCAGCAGATGCTCTGTATGGGACACAGGGACCCAGGTGTTCTTCACATGTTTCAAAAGATCCCCAGCTGCAGTGACCATTCATAGGGGCAGCTGGACACAGGACTTGGAAAGTCCTACTCTAAATGGTGAGAAGCAGACATGCATCTTCCCATGAACAGGCATAGTTGAAGAAACTCTTTGCTGAGTAACTGCTCCCTTTGGGATGAGACAGCTCTCCCAAGAAAATACACCTGGCAGAAAGGAAGGGCCACCTGTAAATACCAAGTACCTGTGTTTGTTGCCACAGCTTCCTTACTTCAGCTGTGGCAGGATCACTGTTGGCTTGCCTTGTCCTCTCTCCTATGCTCTGCTATCAGGAGAAAATAGAACACCCTCACCAAAAATGGATGCTTCCACATTTTTCAGCAGGACTGTATGATTATTACAGGCTTTGTGATATTAATAGTATTTATTGCATAGCTAGACCTTCTCATGATTATTCACTTCCTTTACAAATATGAAAGGGCTTTTCACCTTGAGAGTGTGATTGTTGCCAGTTGTTGATCTGTAGAGAATTTAGGATGAAAGTTCAGTATTGAGGCCAGGCTGCCCAGAGTCCCTCTACTGTTCTCCAAAATAGTATGCTCATCTTCAGCCCACTGGAGGCTTCAAATATACCTGTCTTCTCCAGTGTTGTTTGTTAAAGAAGTTAAAGTGCAGTCCCTTGTAATGCTGTGCAATTTAAGATCCCAATAAGGCTCTTGAGATTTTTGCATGCTCAGTATTTTTTAGTCTTTTGCAGAACTTAACCCTGGATACAGTCATCCTTTAAGCATCTTGGGTAATTCTTTGGTTCTGTACCAGTTCATCTGCAAGTTTCTATTAGGCACAACATTATTTTAATTTAAAAATACAGCAGCATAAATTACTAAACAGATAAATTTTTCTTATTACATTGTTGGAAAACTTAAAGCTTTCCTTTTAATGCAGAATAGAAATTGAATAGGAATTCCAGCATGCAAGAAAAGGTACACCTGGCTCTATTCTCTTCACCAGAACACTGACTTCTTATCTTACTCACAAAAATAATCACTTTATAATTTGATAATTCATATAGCTAATTTGCAATACATAAACTACATTCGTGTTAGCTCACTTACAGATTTCCTTTTAACTCACCGAAACAAAAATGCAGCAGTTCAGCTGAAACATAGGCAGACATTTCTTAAGAAATAATTATTTTGTGTCCTTACAATCTTCCTTGTCTTCAACTTGTAAAGCAATTCAATAATTTGCCAAGGGTAGAAAGTGGTTGAAGTGGGATTTATGTACTGAACTAACTTTTTACCTCAATTTGCTCTAATGTTTTTGTGGCTAACAGGACATGGCATATACTGTTTATACTGCAGAAATTATTGGGTTTTAATGGGGTGTCTTAGAGCAACGTGGTTGAAACATAACTCCTCACAAGCTGCCTGCAATTTGCGCTGCCTTCCCCACACAGGCACTAGTAGCATGTCTAAGTGTCTTAACCACAATAAAGGCCAAAACTGCTGTTCAGACTTCATTTTTCATGTCTGCAATAATTAGTGGGCCTGTTCAGGTATGGCAACGTGTAACCCTCTCACCAACTGTTGAAACACCTGTACACTGTGCACTTCTCCCTTAACTTCTGCCACAGACCTGGGGAATGAGTGCATTGCATAGTAGCTATGTGTACTAAGCCATAGTGTCATGTATCTGACTGCACAACATATAAATACCACTTTGTGTAGCATCCGTGCGGTTTGTTATGCCTGACAGCTGAGCTTCTGATGTACTTGCACCTGTGGAAAAATGCCCTTTTGGGCATGGCTGGTTTGCTCAGCAACCAGTCTTCCTCTACCCACAAAAATGCACACAGGGTTGGGGAAGGATCCCCATAAGCTGCGTAGGCATGCAAAATAAACTGCTCCGCTGTGTTTCTGTTGCTGGACAGATTGGCAGATCAAGACACTGCAATTGAGAGGCCTTCCCCTTGCTTTTTGTTTGGTTGGTTGCTTTTGGCATCACTTGTAATACTCTTGATCGTTTATGTAGATCTTCATGTAGTAGCAAAAATGTTACCTCAGCCCTGGGCTGACAGGAGAACTTTTGCTGTTGTGACGGCTCAGGCAGCATCTCACCTCTGATCTCATGTGGCACTTGGAAGTGGAGAGGAATGGTCACTGTCAGCAGAGGGAGGGCAGGGGCATCATGGGGCTGCTCCGTGGCCAGCTGAATCCAAACAGCTGCAAGGTCTGGGTATCCCTCTGGCACAAGGGCCGAGTGCTCCCTACCCACGCTGTCACAGGTGTGGCCGTGACAGAGTGGGGTGTGTGTCTGAAGCTGCAGGGGTGCTTGCCTGTGCCGGGATGCGTGGGGAGCAAACGTCGGTGCTGGGATCGGTGGGATCCTGGAGGACAGGCAGGGCTGCGGTGCAGAGGCAGCTCCTGGGCCACCCCCTGCTCTCGTCGCGGTCCCGCGTTCAGCCGTGCCAGGCAGAGGCCCCAGCCCATGGTGACCCCGTGGCAAGGGCCTGGTGCGCTCAGGGTGCGTGTACTGGGCAGGCTAATCGGTTCTGCAAACTGTTCCAACCTAGGATTACTGTCATGCTACTTGTGGTCAGGGTACTTCTCTGTCAAACTGCATCTGCCATAGGGCTGCATTAGCTTTTCCTTTGCTTTTCCTTTGCACGGAGCAGTCGGAGGATGCGTTCATTTTTTGTTAGTTCTGCTGGCAATTCATTTGCCTGGAACAAAGAAAACCCTTGAGGTTAGAAATGAACGAGTATTTCCCAATCATGGTTGAAAGCATTACACTCTAGAGAAGATCATATTGATCATTATAATGACATGGGTTTTTTCTAGTGTTGTCTTCACCACTGTTGAAGATATCTTAGGAAAACATCCTTCAGTGTTCAAATCTCATTTAAGTCTTCAAGACATCCCAGAATGGAATCTGAGTGACAGCTTATTTTGTGCTGATTATCCAGGCTAAATGCTTCTGCCACAGAAGTAAAGGATAGCATAGCTGCTGATTTTTCGGGGGAAATGAGGCAGGTCCTTGTGTACTAATGTCCATAAAATTCCAAGGGATGACTTATAATTGTGTTATGCTGTAAGGTTGGTAATAGAACATGAGTTTGTTATTGGTCTTTTTATTTATTGGATACAATTTTGGTAACACAAAGTATTTATGATGAAGCTGCTTCTGAAAATCAGTAATTCTGTCATGCCAAGTGGCATGTTGTTTACAAAAATTAAAAAAAAAAATCAGTAGGAGAGGTTTCAGCCACACTTTCTTCTACTGCACACCCTGCTGCTGCAGATCATTACCAGTAGCAGAAAAATCTTGTACATTTTCAGGTTATAGTATAAACCCAAAATGTCTATTAACAGAGACTACTGTGTGAGTGGCATTAACTGTGCTGCCATCAAGTGTAATGATGCAGAAATTAAGAGCCACAGATTTTATGTTAAATGACAAAAATATCTACAACATATGTGCTGGATTACTTGTTTTACAAACTTTCACTCACCCAGAAGTCAGTTCTAGACCATTCATTTGCAGCTTAACAAACCCATGTCAAACCCTAGCAGCAAATACTTCAGAAACATATCAGAAGAAGACATATTCACAGAAATTATGAAACATGTAATGTTAAAATACTTCATGGGATAAAACTGTGGTAAATTTTCTATGGAAAAATTGCTGTTATCAAAAGAATGCAAAACTAATTCAAAAAATTAATAGATGTATGTAAGATATATAGGAAAAGTGCATGTAATTTGGGATTTTTTTTTTTTTTTTTTTTTTTTGGTATTGGCAATGTCCTGAATTCTACACAGAAACATGGGTTGCCCCCACCTCGATGGCACACATGGCTCTACCACTGAGCACTCCCTCTGTGCTCCTCACCTGGGAGGATGGTGAGCCAGGACCTACCTTGTTCCTCAGACATGGATCCGCTCCTGCCTCAAGGAGCAGTGCCACTGTCCTCACGTTGCCACTCAGGACGGCTGCATGGAGAGCAGAGGTCCCATTCTAGGAAATGCCAGTGCAGGTGTTTGTACCATGTATGGGAAGAAAAGCAAAAGGCAGTGAAACACAAACGCTTGCAAAGAACAGACCTACGAGTGAGAAAGAAGTAACATGGGAAAGATTAGGTCATCAAAGGCATAGGGTCTGATTTGGGGTGCTGGCAGCCTGGTGGGATGTGAAGGAGGTGATTTTAAATGCTTTAACAAAAATTAAGAGAGTCAAGTTCACTTTACCACAAGTTCACTTTACCAGAGCAGTACTTCCTTTTAATAAACATCTTTGGGAATAGATCAGAGGTGACACGAACACAGTACGTGTTTCTGCCTGGCAAAATCAGTCATTAACAAGTGAAACAGAAGCACAAGCAGTAATGGAAGCCATCTGTGCATTTTATCTTCTCTCTCTGATGATTAATGGTCTCAGTGTCAGGCAGCTGATAGGTGGGGAGATTTTATGGCTGGCCTTTTTTTTTGTTTGTTGTTGCAAACTGACAGTTCAAATATGTGTGGAAGCTATTTCATACTCAAAATTAATAACTAAGTTGATATCACCTACATTTTCAAGTACATTAAGTTTGCCAATCATTTGCATGCACAGAGGCCATCAAAGTATGTGATTTATGGACACATAAAATTAGGTCAGCCATTAAAAAGCAGCTCCCAAATAGCTGTTATTTTTCAAGTCACATCTCAGAGGAAAACAAAATCAAGTGGAGAATCTTCTCACAACAGATCTTTTACACTATTTTGCTAAATGTGATAGAAGGCTGGGTATAATGTTAAAACTGAACAGTCATAAGAGTAATCTACTTACAGTAGAAATGAAATCAAGTGACAAGAATCAGAATTTCTTCTATGACACAATGTGCTTCTTCATTCCAAGAATTAAATTCACAGTTTTGTTTAAAAAGATTTGTAAGTGGCATTAAGGCTAAAAAAGATATATTTTTTTTCTTGACTTTTTTTGGCTCAAACTCCTATCATCTTCCACTAGAGTAGTCCTAAATGACAGATTTTTCATCAGACCCTTTGTCTTCTTGTTTTCTGCCTTAAAAACCTCTGTGTTTCACTACTAACCTTTAGCAGGCCAAGTGTAGGAGAGAACTTCAGCAACTCTTCTATCACATTGTTGTAGCCTTTAATGGCAGCCTTCAATAAAGCAGTGGTACCATCCTTTAAAAAAAGAGGAATGTCATAAATGCCTTGCTTGCATTCCCCTTGCAGGGGAAGCTTGACGGGAAGAAAAAGCTGGAGGGAAAGGCCAGCTCTCCCCATGCATCTGAGAGTCTCCCCTGCTCATCACCTTTTAAGGGGTACCTCCACAGCATGTGCTGCTGGTTTTAGGCTACATGGAGGATTGTTCCTCTGGCAGGCAAAAACTTCGGGATAAAATGAACTAGTGAGACCATATACCATCTCTGTCTCTCTACTATGTGGACATTTCCATTCCCTTATTCCAGAAGGTCCCTCCAGGAAGCTGTCCCAGACATAATGGAAAAAAGAAAACCCGTGGTGGGACTGTGCAACATGACAAACAGGACTGACTCTGGAGGTACCAAGCCTCCATCCAGGCAGACTTACAGCCCCCCAGGTGAAGCATTAAGCTGCAGCACAGAGCGCAGGAGGAAGCGCTACTCACATCCCGGGCGGCGTCGCGCTCGGCTCCCCGGAGCAGCATCACTCGCACCACTTCGCTGTGACCCATCTGTGAGGCAATCCACAAGGGAGCTGTCCCGTCCTGCAAACAAAATATGACTGCTGATGCCTTCACTTCAGTGCCCTCTGATATTTTACTGCCCAAGCCTACTGGAATTGATGTACTTCAATTACTCAATCAGATCCTACAGGGAGACAAATGCAAAGCTGTGTCCACACCCATGTGGTAGGTTGGTGTATTCAGTTAGGACTGCTTCAGTTTGCGGAGTAGAGCCCCCTTTACTGCCTTCTCTTGTATAGTTTGCCAGAAATGTGCACTGCTCTGTGAAATTGAAGCCCAGTAAGGCACCCATCATGCCTAAAATACACAGGGAAGTTTGAAACATAAGGGCTAAAGGTGTCCTGTGTACTTTGAACTCTAGGTGATTAGATGGGACAGAGGATACAGACAAACCTCATCATGCACAGGCAGATTCTGCAGCTGGGTGCCTGTCCATGGGGAGTAAAAGTTGTTTACGGAAGCTAGGGAGCAATGCAAGGTGATCACCAACTTTCAGTATTTAATTACATTGTCCACCCTCAGAAAATTGGGTAAAAACATCCTGCCTTACAGTGAAGCTAAGTATTTCACAAATTTTATCTTCAAAACAAGGCAATTATCAAGGAATCCAGCATGAAAAACTCTGCTTTGGAAAAGTCCTATGCAATCATTATTTGAACACAAAATCTCAGAAAATGCACATTCAGAGTAAGCTAAACTTTGCGATGGATTTGCCTCCCAAAGGCAAAAGTGAATTGAAACACTAGAATTATTTCACACTGCAAGCAGAATTTAGTTTTTCGTTCTAAATGGCCTGATTCTCCAGACTGTGGGGGGACTCCAGCAGTTATGTGGTACCAAACTGATTCATGAGCCTTTAAAAAAGGCTTTGCCCGTATGGACTTTAATGCAGAAGTGAGGCCCCACAAAGCAGGGTGCCTGCTTCTGCTTTTAGGGCTTGCCAGCTCCCCTCACCACTCGCTGCAGCCTGTAGACTTGGCTTGAAAGAGGAAGACAAACTAAACTGAGACTTCAAAAACAGCCTTAATGAGAAGATTAATGAGAAATCAACTTTTTACATTAAATAAGATATTGCCACTTTGATCAAAGAAATAGTCTTGCTTCCCAGTGCCACCTGAAGATTCCTATGCCATGAACCCAGAAAACTGTTGTCGAATCAGTTCTCTGCTTTCCATGGACTAGTGAATTAATCCTTTGAAAGAAACAGAAAAGTTATTTCTTCCATTGATATAATAATCTGGGCTTCCCTTTTTCTGATTCTGAGAAGGAACAAATGCACATCCTGAGATCTTCAGTATTCTCTAACAGTAAGGAAGATGATCTTTGCCCACCCTTGTATAATTTCTCTATATATTAACTCACAGAAATTAGTGACTGAACTCACTCTGGTATATAACCTGTTAATATGAGTGTTCTTTGTGTTTAAAAAATAAAAAAGGCTGTATTGTATACAGAGTATGTGATGTTAGTTTGATGGCAAAAACTGTCCATCTCCAATTTATTTATTTTAGTGTTTTCCCCACCAGAAGCTGACACTTCATATTTTTCTAATCTCCATCCACCAGAGGGCTCTAGAAAATAGCAATAGGTACATTGAAAAAGCTGTAAAACTTGGAAAATATCTGAGAGCAGCCTGCATAATTTAATCTGCGTGAAGAACCAGTGCTGTGCAAATCCACACTTGTATTTACACAAGCAATGAAAACACAAGCTCAGCATAGGAAATAAAGCAGCTTTTGTTTACTCACAGTGAAGTTTGTAGGAACAACCCCTATTTTCAGGTATAAATGAAAAGGAGCAAAAGGAAATGCAAATGTTGGATAATATCACTGCTACCATTAATTGTCATTAATAGTATTACTGTCAGACATTATCCTCAGCATCTCAGCTATAGGATAGACACAAAAGTACATTATGAGGAAGAGTAGCTGCATTGAAGGACTTAGCCTGAAGAGAAGAAAGATAGTGAAGGTAATGATGGACTCACATTGACTATAGTCAGCTTCTTTCTCTTTAGCAAACAGTATGTAACACTCGGGTTTATGCAAATATCTGTGATATTTATATCGAGTATATGAGCTTTCTGTCCATTTATAAATTAGTGAATGACACAAAGCAGATACTACATTTTTCTAAGAGGTCACATGTGACTTAATGTGTAAACAGATATTAGGGCTTGGAGATGAGTCAGAAAGAAAGTGAGAACAGGGAAAGATGCAGTTCAAAAGCTACTTTCTTTTCCTTGTCCCTCTGCTCACCTAGTAGACAGCAGATCACTACGTTCCTAGAATAATTTTAGATATCCCATGTGTTTGTAAGGTGTTATTTTTTCCACATTTGGTTACAAGCTAGTATATATGGACAATGTTTTATTATATCCATCAGCCAGATGTTCCAAATAAACTCTGACTGAAATAATTAATTTATTAGATATTAGATAGATATTAACTGATAGATATTGACTAATAGATATAGATGTTAACTAATAGATATATAGCTGTATGTATATATATTAACTAATAGATATGTAACTATAGATATAGATATTAACTAATGACTTCATCTTGCAGCTTTGAAGCTCAACTTTTGCTTATGGCTTGAAATTTTAGAAAAGGCCAGATTGGGGTGGGAGGTGAAAGACCCTTCAAATTTCCAGTAAGTATTTCTAGGGGCAGACAACCCCTACTCTCAGGCTACTCAGTGTCATATCCTCCACTGCTCTGCCCATTAGTCCACTTGCACTGCTACAAGTTATTTGCCAATTCTTGCTTGCTGAAGTGTACCCTATAAAGATTTACAGGCTTACATGTATGCATAATTGCATATCAAGTGCTAAGAAAAAAGTCATTAATTTTCAGGTCATTTTGAATCTGCTTAGCCAGGCAGAATAAAGCCTGTTGGGACACAGATTGCCAAAACAGCATTGGCAAAGAATCTTACAGCTTTGTTTTGTAAGTTGAAGAAGCATAGAAATATCTCCTGTAGCAGGCTTCAGACATTGCCCCCAGCTCTGTCTAGACAAAAAGATGACAAAAGAATTCCTGCCCAGCTCCTCAATTTTGGCAAGAGCAGAAGGCAATTACAACCCAAGAGAAAGGACATTGTCAGGGAGAAAACTTTCCAGGAAGCTTCACTATTTGGTCTTGTGTGAGCTGAAGGGCTTGCATGTGGACAGCCAGGACCATCCAAAATGCTCTGCGGTGTCAGAAATACCCCTATGGGACAGGACGTGGGACACCAGACTGAGGGGAACTGGTACCCACCACAGGAGGAGACATAGAAGGCAGACACATGTGTGCAGGTCCATGGATTTAGCCACCAAATTCCCAAGGCAGAGAGGAAAACTTGGACATCATGAGGAAAGAGAAGATGAACTCACACCTGGCACTCTGCAGGCCTGTATTTGAGGTAACATTGCCTGGAAAAGTTTTTTACCACAGTGAGAGCAATGTAGCTCGTAAATGAGAGTGAGAGTTGTCTGGCATAGACATCGCCCCTTCTAGAGATACATTCCTCATGACCAACACACCCCCTTCTAACAAAGTACAAATCCATTTGTTAGTAAGAAAGAGACTGAAGTTCATCCAACCATTACTTGACTAATTAAACAGTAAAAATGTTCCATTTGTTGAGGAAATGTTTCAGATTACAGTGGACTCAAATACAAATGCCATGCACTTATCCAGGCATAATCTTAGCAGGGATCGGAGGTACCCTCAAGCAAAGAAGGTCTGTCCTGCTGGAGATGAAACAGAAGAGCCAGGAGGAACATTCACACAGACACAAGTCTTTGCCTCAACTAAGATTTAAAATTGCCTCGTGAAACATTGTGTTGTAGAAATTGGATTAGAGAGCTAAAGAAATAATGTCAGAAAGAATTAGCTGCATTATAACTACAGATAGCAGAATGCAGTTTTAATGGCAACAGGGTCAGACAGATGTAAAGTTCCCCAACCCTATTTTGACTTACTCAAAAAGCATTAATGCATACCTTGGTTTCTCCTTTTACATTGAAACTTTAGACTTAATTAACAGCTTCTAACATTTCTTAAGCTTTTTCTAGGGACACAGTGTGGAGGCAACCTAGGAGCAGCTAATGCATCAATCCAAAGGGTAGCTGCCAGCACAGTTCTGGTGCTCAGAGGTGGAGCTAGGGGCAGCAGGAAAACTGTTTCAGTTAAGGCCCTTAAAATAGTAATCCTCTTTCCACAGCTAGGAGTGTACACAGAGCAGAAGCATATAGATCAATGTCTGTTGCCAGGCTATGATTTGTCAGGCTATTGGTGCAGATGAAAGGAAATACTGAAAATACTTGGCAGAGCTTGTCTCATGCCACGTTGTCCACTGTTATTAGAGTTTTCACACTCATTTGCTTTTGCCTGCTGGTTTTTTACTTGCTGCAGTCAGCCACCTGGCTGACATGCATGATTAATTACAAGGAAAAGACCTTATCCCATCAATTTCAAATGTGCAGTGAAGACCCAGGACAGACACCTTGCCTGCAGGGTTTCAGCAGACTACAGGCAAGGATCTCTCAAAGCAGGTAGAGATTCCTGAGAAGCTCTGTCTCTAACCAGACATTTCTACATGCTGGGTGTAAAGCTAGTTGTGCAACTCCACCTCTGGCTGCTTAGGCACGGATTTTAGCATCAAGAAACAGCTAAATAATTAAGAAACCCTTTTATTTGAAAAGCAAGAGAGCTTTCATACATGTCTCTGTATACCACCTATGCTTACCTATCCCGCAGTTAGTTTAAAATCTAGAAAGCCCCTTGCACCCTTACCTAACTCCAGCATCCAGTGATGCACAGTGGATCCAGCCCCTGACCCCCCAGCAGGGATCTCTTAACCAGCCACAAATCTAGCTCACACTTCCCATTTAATGATCAAACAGCAGCCCTACTGCTTGCAGAGGAGCTATTTTCATGCTTACAGCTGCCACTGGTTGTATGTGCTTGCAAGATCAGGCCCACTAGAGTAACTAGATGGAAATGGGGAGAAAAGATTTCTATATGTACCAAAAACTTAGAGAGATGAAGGCAACACTCATGCTTGAATTTCAGAGTGTACAGGATTGATGCAAAGTAAAACAAGCAAATAAACAAAAGTTAAACTAAAAATAAAAGCATTTGTCAAAGATAAACTTTGACGCCAAAGCCATGCCTGAAGGTCTGGGGATTTCAAATTTAGTACTACATCCTCCTAGAGCGCTCAGATTTTCAAAAGCTTTTAAAACAATTTTCACAAGAACTCAGGGATGTTGTAGGCTGTGTAGACCTTCAAAAGTACTATACAACACAAACAGATTGATAGTTGCAAGAGGTGGTGCAAGGCCCTTACAGCAACATTCCATACAGCTAGAGGGTTTTATCTTGATTTAGTTTGGTGCTTGACCCAAACATGCATGTGGTTCAAACCCATTTAAAGGAGTACTCAGTGGTCTGATCTGCTCTAGAATCATAGCATCATTTAGGCTGGAAAAGACCTCTGAGTCCAGCTGCCAAGTCCACCACCAAACCATGTGCCCAAGTGCCCCATCTACACTGTCTTTTAAAAACCTCCAGGGATGGTGGTTCATAGGGTATAATGTGTAGATGTGGAGCAGAGCTTTCAGTTTCAATTCTTTCAGAAATGACTGAGATACTGACTTCAAAGTCATGTTACCAATCTGAACTAAAACACAGAATGTTGACACAGCATATAGATCTTTCATTGGAAGACACATAAACTGTTTTCCAATGAAACACCTATACAGGAACCCAATACCTGGAGAAAATTCCAGTGTTAATTTTCATAACTACAAAATTAGAACCCAGCTCTGCTTTGAAGTGTTGATCATACCTGTCGTGGCTGGTTAACCTTTGCTCCTGAGGAAAGCAGCAATCGGATGACATCCAGATATCCTCCTTGTGCTGCCAGGAAAATTGCAGAAGCTCCATCCTAAGAACAAACACATCAGTCTTACACTGCGTTGAAGCAATGCCATTTTTCCACACAAAAACAAATCAAATTAAGTTCTCAGCCTTCTGTCATTATGCTTTGTAACAGCAGATATACAGCCATGCTCAAGAAATAACTACCAAAATACACAGTCTAGTTCATAATAAACTGTGGCAAGATTTTCATTCAGTATGCACAAATAGTGGCTCATATATTAAATCCAACATTAAATCCTGTGTCTGGAATACTAAGAGTCTAGTTCTTTGAGGCATTAAGCTACATAACTAGAAATGAACTCCTGTACAGCAATAGAGGTTCATTTAGCTTTTATATGCTCATGCATAGTGTTCTGCTACATGGATACATGGTGGAGCCATGTCAGGTATTTTGCAAGACTGCAAACCCCACCACTGAAGGCTGCCCTTGAGGCTGAAGGAGTATGGCCCTGTGCCATACTACTGTGCCACCCCAGAAACCACCATACTTCTGCTCTGGCACATCTTGTAGAAGAGCCTTCACCTGTAATATGGTAATCTAAAAGTACTTTGTAGCCATATCAGAAACCAGAATTTTCCTGCAAAAATCTTGTGAAAGAATAAATTGTGAACAAATACAGGGTTTTGTTTTTCTTTGATATGTCTTTCATGTGCAGATGTTCTCAGAATTTTACTTCAGAGAAACCCCTTCCATAGGAAAAAAAAATTAAGTCATATTTCATTAAGTATTTTTGATGGAACAATTTCAAACAGCATTATAATCCATCTAACCAACTATAAGTAGAAATCTGTACTGAGGGTGGGACAGGTGTTTACCCATCCTACATCCACAGCACCAAGCACAGGATGTGCTAGAACAAGTCTTCCCAGGAGGTGAGAATCTTTTAATTTAAATAGAGACAGGAATTAACCCCTTTACCACATCTCAGATGTGCAAATACACCTCTCATGCCAACTCAGGCATGTGCTTATCACAAAATACAGGGCATTTTAGTGAAAACCTGATGTTGACCTTGTTGGCATATCACTATGTTGGGATGAAATGCTGTTGTCTGCAGAGAGAATGTGCACAGCTACTCCTCTAGCTGAAAAACTCAGCACAAACTTTGTGAAACATGAGCTGAATAGCCCCAGGGACTGATTTTAGGATGTTTGACATTGATTTCAGGACAAATGTCCTGGTAAACACAAGAGGTGTCTGCTGGAACTATTAATGCCTGTCCCTGGGCCCTCTGATGGGCTGTTTTCGCTGGTTGCTGTGTGAGTAGATGAAAAAAATCTGGCCATACCAGAGCCTTTGCAGGCTTCCTCCAGATGCAGAGAACACTTCAATTTAGAAAATAAACAAGGTTGTGTAATATTAAAAAAATGCTCTCTTTATTGTAGGATCAATCAAGATGGAGAACCTTGCATTCACTGATACTTATTTGATTTGAATGGGTGCTGTAATGAGTGTGCTGTTGTGAGGCTATCATGCATTTCTGCAAGAAATACTATTTAGCTAGAGTATTCTTTTGTCTCTTGTTCTCCTGACTCCTCACATGAGTCAATTTAAGATTAAAACATTGATCTTGATGGTTTTGGGAGGAGTATCCAAATGTATGCTCAAAATCCCTCCCATTTAGCTGAGAGTGAAACTGCCATCCAGATACCACTTGACAAATGCAGCTTGGCAATATAAAGAGCTAGACAACATTTTTTTTTCAAGAGATTGTATTCTTATTTTATTACAGAATTCTTTCTGACTGGCTTTGCCCAATATCTGTGAGCAATAAAAGTACCTTTTAAAGTCCAATTGCAAATATTGCTCATTTCCAGAAGAGACAACAAGGAAGTTATTTTATTGCCTTGACCTCTGGGTAAGAGTCTGCAGGTGTGGCAGCATAGCTATTTTTAAACTGAGTGGCAGCCCCTGGGATTACCCTGCAGAGGGATGAATCACTGCCCTCAGATCAGAAAGACAATTTGCACAACAGTAAGGGTGGAACAACCTTATTTATAAATGAGGGGTGAGGCAATACTGAGGTGGGGATCCCCCTGTGACCACTTCTGCAGTCACCACTTCTGCAGCTCCCCTACAAGCCAGTAGGAAGTGCAACAGCATCCTGCAGATCCAAAGCCAATGGAAACAGATGAAAAAACTCACATATATTGGAGAAACAACTTCTTCTTTGTCAGTCTTGATGCCCTGGGGTAGGAAAGAGTGGGGTGGGAAGCAGAGGCAAAATCTGCTACTCATTTCTTTTGAATGCTGAAAAGCTCAACTTATCTGTGTCTCTGTTGGAGTAAATTAAATCCAGAGCTTCATTGGTTCAATCCAGCTTTCAGAAAAGTCAACTAAACAACATCAGTTCAGCCATTTTAACCTTACTTTTCCCAAAACACTGGCAAACTGGAGATTCACAAATATCAAATAATATAATTATAATTGATATTTTTAAAAAAACTGCTTTGAAGTAATTTAAAGATTTTAATTTTTGCCATTCTTTCTGGCAGAAAAATAATGTACTTCAGAGGCTCTAGAGCTATTCACTCTTCTGCAAATCATGGTAGAGCATGGCATGCTGTTTTGTCCAAGGCTAATGGGTAGCACAACTCTGTTCCAGATTTGGTACATATCCTCCATACAGATTATGAAACAAAAGGTAGCCAAGGATCCTCTTCTGATTTTGTGTTACTTCTCTCATCATCATGAAAAGCAGACAGTTAACGAACTCCACATCTTAGAGGAACAGAGTACTATAAAACTGCAGTGTTTGGCAAATGCCTGTCAGTGCTGGAGCCAGGGTGTCTGCTGTTGTCCAAGCAACAGCACATTTGTTCCACCACCACCATTGTCAATATTGTGTGCATCAAATAACTCACATAGAGTTGATCATGAATGTTGGCGCCGTGCTTCAGCAGAGTTTCCACTACTTTTGCATGCCCATACTGACAGGCAGCCAGGAGAGCTGTGCCTCCATCCTGTGGAAACAAAAAAGAATGGGTACAGTCAGGTCAGAGGTCTGGTGTTGGGCTGAACTTCAGCATAAAACATGAGTCAAACTTTAAGACTTTTCAGAATTTGGCTCACAGCAGTTCCGTAAGAGTAGCTACTGAATATTTCATAACTTTAATGCCAAGTGTTGACATACAAATCTTTCAACTTGGCTCAGTCGCTATATAAATTTTTCTCCTGAGTTTTAGGGAGGGAAAGGAATGAAGAAAATTCTGTTTTTCATTCCTCATTTTCTGCCTTGCCATTAGAAGCTTTACTCCTTTCACACCTTCAAGCTCCTCCACATCTCTTCCTTTTACAGCCAAATTCATCATGTCTGCCAAACTTTTCCACCGATGGAAGGATAGCACACCTTTCCACTTCTCCAGTGTCTATGGCTCTTCTTTGGCCAGAACCTTGTGCCCTGTTTTGTCCTGCCTCTCATCAGTGGATTGTTGGCCTGAAGCTGAGCAGAGAGGAAGCATTCTAAAGTGTGCTGACTGTGGAAGTGTGAGTCTGACCAAGGCACAGCCACCAGTGAAAATGCCATTACTGCTGCTTGAGAAGCGATCCCTGCAGGGAGGATCAATCCCAGGCACTTGGAGTTGCTGCATACCACCACTAAAGGGAGACCTAGGCACATGTCTCAATCCTGTTTGTAGAAACACTCCCTTGGGAGCCAGCTGAGAAGGGAACACCTCAGTGTCACTGGTGATTGACTCCAAACCAGCTCAAACAACTGAGACAGTAGACTTGGGTCTTGCCATCGTAAATGTGCTGTGCTCCACTCAGAAATTATCAGTATTTCAGACATAGCTATGGAGAGGAAGTTCTTATCATCTGCCTGGGATGGCACCATGCCATTGTGCAAGGATGATGCACACCCCAAAATGTCCCCACCACAGGTCTTCTCTCTCCTTCCCTCCCTTCTCCCAGTCTCAAGCCTCTCCTCCACAAAATAAACTATCTAAAGTATTTCATGTAAATGGTTTCTAGAGCTGTTATTAATGTGGATACAAGACTGTGCTTTGGCAGTCTCTTGTTCTCTGAAATAACTCCAAGGTTGTCTGAAATTTTCCACACAGATATCCACAAAAGAAATTGCAGCTTGAGTGACCAAACGGATCTCTTATAACAAGAAGCGCCAATCAAATTTATTAATCAATGGTGCAATTTCATGGCTGTAATAGCCTGGTGAAAATTCAAGCTCTGACATGACTGAACTAACCCACAGGCACTGTTTATAGCTAACCTCAAAACCTCATATTCACCCTTCCTGCCACAACATTGAAAAGAAAAGAAGGCTTGGGTGTCAGCTAAGCCAGAGATGTGAGGCTGTTGTGTGACAGTCTAAGAATTGACTATTAATTCTGGATTATTTGACTAAGTACAGTGTGTAATCAGATCAGTAAAGTTTCTCTTCTGAGAAATTAGACTTTCTTGCCAAATTAAACTACCATAACTTAATGAGAACTGTGGGAACAAAACACAAAAGCAATCACAATTGTTCTTGGATTAAAAAACACCTTATACACACTTAAAAGACAATGGAAAAGCTAATAGCTTCATGAAATCTATTTCCTCTCCCCAACCAAGTGAAAGCTACTTTGCTCAAGGGGGTGATTTACTGGATCAAAGGGCTATAAACAAAACAAAACAAAACAAAACAAAGCAAAACAAAACAAAACAAAACAGCCAGAGAAATTTTTGAAGACTTTTTCCCTGAACGATGTTGAGAGAGAAAAGTTAGTGAATTAAGAAGAGAAACTGTGCTATCCAGACAGAAGGTCCTCTGTGGAGAGGCAGGGAAAGAAAAGCTTTAGGAAGCTTAAAAATATTAAAGTTCCCTGTATGGAGGGTAAATAGACATGCTCAGTTGGTTGCATATGGAAAAAGTTTGTTTGTTGCTTTATGGTCTGGCTTTTGTTTTCTAAAATTATTGTGTAAGGAACCAAGTGACAGGTTCCAAATAAAAGGCATGCCTGCAAAGCTAACCACAGCTGGCACAGCAGAGCTGAAGCCCAACACTTGGAATCCCACTGTGTGATCCCACCTTGGGAGATGTGACAGCTTGGGGTTTAAGAATGGCAACAACTCTCCCAAGATATGTCTAATTAATTCAAAAAGAGGTTCCTGACCAAGTGTTTGGGTCAACCCAGTGAACAGTTAGTGAACAGTTTTAGACAGATATTTATTTTTTTTTTTGAAAGTGTAACACAATTCCAAAATACTCCATTTGGATCTTTCAGACTAAAGAGACCAAGTTTTCCTAGGTCAGTCTGATCAGAGTCCAAGGGTTAGAAGAGGATCTTTGGATGGCCCCTAGTTTCATCTGCCCACTCTGAATCAAATATTTACTGCTGCAGAGAGAAGTGGGTAACAATTCCCGGGCTCAAAGATCTGGTCCCTGATCAAAAGGACAACTGAGCTCTAGGACCTGCTCTACTGTCTGTCTGATACATGAAGCTGAAATTCAACAGAAGGGATTGGGATTCCTCCGCATGCTCTGAAGTCAGCGTACCACTATAAAAAATTAGATATACATCTTTCTGTAAGTAAAGGAAGCTGGGGGCAGCAAACTTTTCCACTGACATAAGACAGCACTTAGTTAAATCAAGGAATTGTTGAACAGTGCAATGGTCCACTGTTTATTAGTAGGAGAAAACTCAGTCCATCTCTTGCCTCTATTGAGCTTCCATCTGGTTTTCTCTTATACTTTACTCCAGCAAGCTCTAGCTGAAGACCATAATGCTTTACAGACCATAAGGAAAGCATATAAGTTGGGGGAGATTAAAAAAAAAAAAAAAAAGTAAATGACAGAGTTTTAACATCCCTTTTAGCCATGCAATTACCTCTTTCCTTTTTGGCTTCAGCTGAGATAAGTAAAAAGCTGAAGCAGCGTCTTTGGTACTGGCAAGCCTCTTGGAAACTCTGAGCAGGGCAGCAAGCAAGAGCTGGACTGAGGTGCTCCTGGGGCTATCACCCCTTCTGCAGCGGGCAGGAGGCCACTGTGCAACCTCTAAGAGATGGCACATTGCCTTGGGTTCACTTCTTGCTCATATCCTGTTTTTCTGACACAATGAAGTTTTTATTAACTCTGTACTGCAAATATTTCCAGCTCAGATAGGAGCTGGACTTTTCTCAGCTATCTCTGCAATTCTTCCCCTGAAACCATTTTTCTGCCCTCCCCAGAGTCCGTCTCCTCACTGCCAGCACATAACAGCAGCTGCCGATCTGCAGTGAAAACACTTGGAACAGCAGCACTGGGTAGGACCACGCTAAGTAGACTGCCCTGTCTATTTGCTGACCCCTTTCCTCTGTCATCATCACCTGAAATAGCTTAGAATTATACCTTGTTTTACTGTCTCTTAAATATGGAACACAGGAGGAGAACTGATCTTCTGCAATCACTGCCTGCTGAAAAATAGCCTCTATCATAATGTTCAACCTGCAGTACTATTCATAAGATGTGCCACCATGCTTTTTAAGAACTCACATGCTTATCACATCTATCAGAATAAAAGAAAAATGTTTCAGCCTATGTTAAATATTTCTATGGATGTCAGACTGGGATAACGCAGGATAATATTAATGACTAATATGATATGTAATAATTATATAATAACCTTCAATAGTACCTTCGATTCATTCTCTTTAGAACATCAGCATTTATTGCTAATTACTTTATTACACTACTATAGAGCAGTTTTGCCATAGAAAATATCAATTCTAATGATACAAGCCTTAACAAGAATCGTACGCATGTATTAAGATAGTTCTCCAGAATTCTCATATATGAGTAACAAATGTAGTAATCACAATTTACAGATAAGTACATGAAAAATATGTTGGGTGTTGCATTTCTTTAATTAAGTCTCTGTTTTGTAGGATACATTCAGTTTGTGTGCTTATTCCAAATTCATGTAGTGATTTATAATAGAAATATATATATATTCTTTGCAAATGGATTAATTTTGCACTGCCCTTTAAAAACAGGATTGGCCATATCTTTTCCAGTGCTGCTCCCAGATGAGTGTCTTAGTGAGAAAATGCCTTGTCCCTAACCTGAAAAGGCATATTTTATCAACTATATTGTTTCTGGGGTTTCTGGATAGAGAAGCTCGTCATCTTGGTCACCTGTTACCAGAACAATGGAATTATTCCAAGCTATAAAAACCACATTATTAAATCAGATGATTGAACTGATACAAAGCCACACTAGTGGGCCAGTGGAAGATGTGGACTGTCCCTGACTGGTGCCTCCTGCTCCAGGCATGTGCTGGGTGATGTTGCTGGAAAATCATCTCACATGCACATCACAGTTTCCCATGTTACACCCCTTGGGAGCTGGTGTTATCTTTCAACCAGCTTATCTGGATGTAACAGAAAGCTGTCACCCAGAGAGAAAGTGCAACGAGCAGCTAAAAGATACTTGGGTCTGGCATATGGGCCAAGTCAAGTCTGGTTCAGAAGCAGAGGCAGGCAGGAAAAGAAGGGCTGGAATTAAAGTTTCAAGGTGAGCAACAGTAGGCTCCAAACTTTCATTTGTCCAAAGATGGAAGCCAAATTTGGAGTAGCTGAACACAGGAATATTCTGTTATAATTTAGACCTTTGCTCTCTTTTATCTGTTCTAATGTTTCACATCAATGTATTTTGCATGCTTCATTAAAGATGCATATTGTCATGAAGGATAAGACAATTTCAAGTCTACTGTACACTTCTTGGATCAAATCTTGGCCTCTTCACAAACTCCTAGTTCACAGGCTGTGGAAAGATTGAGTGAAGATATAACTGTCTCTCTAGACAGAATAATGTACTGAGCCTCTGACTTGCCAGCTGAATGCAAGGGAAGATGACCCCTCTGAATCTTGCTAACCCCACCCATACCCTGAAACAAAAGTCAGAGAAGCAACACTTATTTGAATGTGCAACCTTACCCAAGAAATTTGCCCCACGTGAGATTATCCAGCTGTAAGATTCAGCTGTTGCATTTAACAGTGTAACCCGCTGCATTGCCAGCTTTCACAGCTGCACTCCATGTTGTGTTAAACAGCCACAATTTCATTCATGCTTGTATTACTGATTGCTGCCACAGAGAGTGGCTCACCACAACCACAGCTCCCTGGGGTATCAGAATCCCACTCGATGGTCATGTGTGAACTCTGGCTACAAAACAACAAGATTTTTAGGCCCTAGAGCGTAAGGAGCTGAGTTTCTGATGTTCCATCAATTCTCTTATTGAGAGAATCATTCAAATCACAGACTAAAATATCTTGAGAAATTGATTCCTGTGGGGTAAAGAACTGCTGCTTCTTCAAAGACATCACTAGGGACCCCAGGATAAGTGACTGGCAAGTGTCCTCCTCCCCAGATAATGGGAATGTTTCAAAACATAGCCAGCATGTCAAGAACAAGTATATTTAATAAAAATATGTTATTTTTCCCCCTGTTTCCTGAAAGAAGAGGTGCTAATACTGGCTTGGGAAAAAAAAACTGGGTTGAGGTGCTGCTGTCAGTGATGAACTGCTGATCCTGCTGCTGTTGACCCCATGAGGGATGAGGAACCCAGGCCCTGCTACTTGTGCTTTTCGCTATTCTAAGAAGATTTTAGAAAAGGACCTGCCTGAACAAAGAAATAAAAGCTCTACTAAGGTACATTTAATCTTCTTGTCTCAGATAGAAAAGTTGGAATTTAGGGGCAACTGAAGGCATTATGTTCTTATGTATTCTATGGTGGCATGCAGAGACCCAATGTTGATGAAATGTAAGTTCTATGCAAGCAGAGTACATAAACACCTAAATCAGGATCCTACCTGGTATGTGCAAAAAGACCCTTTGATCTTGTATTGGTGGATAGCTTATGAAGAAAGACTGTTATCACAATTGAGAGACCTTGATGAACTTATGCCATTAAGTCTAGGTAGGAAAAGCTAGTCCAAAGTTAATATTTCACAATGTGTTGCATTACTCAAAAATGTTCACATGAGGAAATTTCATCATTTTAACACTGCCCTGTCATATTTCATATGAATACAAAAACCCAGCCTTGACTGTCAGAATGTATGAGCATGCAAAAATAGACCCATCATCTTACTTTATTCTTAAATTCAGTTGAGGCTCCAAATGAAAAGAGAAACTTCACTACATCATTGTGGCCTTGCTGTGCAGCAAAGAACAGAGAAGTTGCACCTGACTGTAAAGAAAAATAGATTAAAATAGTAACAAACATGTAACACCCTTGACTGAAGTATTGACATTTCAAATTAAAAAGTATTGAGCTCAATCAGTTGAATATCAGCTGAAAAGACATGATGAATTTCAAGACTCCAGAGGACACCAGGTATCTTAACTCAGTCTTCTTCCCATTGCACTGAAAAATCTGTGGGAAGGGAAGGGAAGGGAAGGGAAGGGAAGGGAAGGGAAGGGAAGGGAAGGGAAGGGAAGGGAAGGGAAGGGGCAAGCTTTCCTGACTTTGGGCTATCTCACCCCATGTAGAAAATACAGGAAATGGGAGCTACATGTGAAATTCACTTCAGTGCCCAAAGCCTTTACAATAGTACATGGCCCCATTTAGACCATTTCAGAGCCTGCTCTCCTGGGCACATTTATGGGACTGTCACTTCCCTGAGCTTCACAACAACTTCAGTGCACAAGAGCACTGGTTGGAGAAACTGCATTTTGTTGCAGAACAGTGCCATAGGTCTTTAGCACTTCATCTGTTTTGCTCCCTTCCTGCAGCAGAGTGATTTTGGAGGTTTTCAGTGTTTTTCTTTTTGCTGCCTTGTTGAATCTGTATTTCCTGAGTGATAATAAAAAGAGCTCCATAAAACTGTTCTTTACTTTTTCTTTTGTTGCTTCTTTCCAAGCAATGTTTACCTAAGAGAAGGGACATATTTAAATAAATGTTTTGTTAGAACAGGACCCCACTGAAAGACACTGATAATCATGGTTAGAGCAAGTTTAGGCCAGTAAATGCAAGGACACCTATATCATCAAACATGGCATTCACTGACTCAGTAACTTGCAGATGTCAGCATGAGATTAATGCTCTGGTTCCAGGTAACCAAGGAAAGTAAGAAACTTGGGCTTGTACTGTTTGAGCAATGAGCACACTGCTATCCTGCACAACCTGCCACCATCCCATGTAATTTCATGCCCTCCTTAAACTGTTCTTCTCTTAAAACCAGTGGTTATCCCAGAGCAATTCTACTCTTTGCACATCCAACACACAGACCAGAGCAACCGCAATCCTTAGAACTCTCTGCATGAAGTATGAGTGAAATACGATTTCCCAAAAAAATCAGTTGCTGATGTCCCTTTCATGCTGATGTCATGGTGCAAGACATGCCTTGAATGACAAGCAGAGATGCAGGGAAGGGTACAGGTGATAAATCTGTGTAACTGCTAGAGATGAGTTGGCTCAGACTAGAAGGCAGAAACTCCAAAAACATACAGAGTCAAAAATAATCCCTGTGCTAGTAATGGCATCCACTCTGTTTTAATGACCAGGCTGCAAATCAAAAAGTAAAGGTCTTATTATTTATCCCATCTGGAGATCTGTAAATTGTTGTACCAAAAAGTAAAACTGCAAATACATAAATGGCATAACCCTGGGGGGGTTACATCCCAGATGTAACTGACCCTCACCAACCAAATCTGCTGAAAATGTTTAATGAGTTATTATAAATGTACCTCTGGCATCTGATTTTCTATTGTAAACTCCAGATATCTGATTCCCTGATGTCCTCAGAACAAAGCCTGTTATACATGTTATAAATACACTGTACAGCAAGTGGCAAAGAAACAATTGGCAACAAACAGCAGACAACACTCTTATAATTTGTAACAAACCAACAGTCACTTAATCAAGCCCTGTTTGAATCCTACCTCTCTCTGCAGATTGATATCTGCTCCTTGCAACACCAATTCCCGTACACAATCTATGTGGCCATAGTAAGATGCTACCATCAGAGCTGTTGTGCCAAGCTGGGAGTAAGGAAAAACAAGTCAGTACCTTCAACAGACACCTACAGCAATGAATCAGGCTGTCTGGATGAGTCAGCATCTCTGCCAAAAAGCTTGAGGGAGCTTATGATATCTTGTTGTCCCAAAATAAGTGCAACAAGTATAAAAAGAATAGGTTTTGTTTCTAAACAGCACTTTTTAATTCTCTTTTTAAGCAGAGAATCCCAAAGTTCTTTGCATCATTTCCAGAAGAATAATCTCAGACACAGGAGCTGAGTGACTCAGCTGAGTCACTTAGAATTCTGAGTCATAGTCAGGAGAAGGGGCTGGGTGATTTGAACAGTAATTCCCTATCCAAATAATGAGAACAAACTCACTCCGTGACTCTTCACATTATAAGAGAGAACTTTCTGTACAGAAATCTGTGTTCAGCTTCCTCAGTACACTGTAAAGTCACTTCCAGGGAATGAAGTAAGATTTATATGTATGCAGTGTATGGACAATATGCAGAAACTGCATGCACAAGGATGAAACACATCCTTCAAAACCATTCACACACAAAAGTTCAATTTGAAGAAGGAATGGGCGACATTACAAAAAAGAAACATGCGGTCTTAATTGTAAAAAAACAAATTTAGTCTAGAAAATGTGTATGTCTGACACAATTATTAATGCAATGCAGTGTGAAAGTTCTTGTCCAAAGTTAGCCTTCTTTTGAGAAAAAAATAACAGTAGTGGCTTTATTTTTATATTGATCTCTGTCCTGTTTACTACAAGTCTGTATTTGAACAACCTTCCCTCCCTTATAGAAGGACAGCCATAGCACCAACTTCAAAAGTGCTGTAGGACAAATACTTGCCTACAGGTCAAAAATGAAATGAAAATGAACAGATACATTAAAGTAATCACGATTAGAAAATCTCTTACGCTTTGAAGGTATTCAAAGTGAGAGAAGCTGTGGCAAGTTCCTGTTTTGGGCTGGAAATGGCATTAATCCTTACCAACACCAGCATGACTACGTGTCAGTCAGTCCCAATGCCAAATAAAAGAAACCTGGAACTTCTCACACTCCTTTTCCCCTTGCTCTTTGGCTCAGCTTAGCACAATCAAGTATCTCACCATGCATTGTAGGCAGGATAGAAAGACCTGCTCATGATCTGTGTTATCATCCTATATATAATCTCAAAAGTAATTTCAACCCATGTCAACTACAGTAAGGAAATTCCCATGAAATTTGTCATGTGTCTGGGCTCCTCTTGTTTGGCAATCTTGTGCCTTCATGTTGGTGCCCAGTCCAGAGATTGGGTGGAGGAGGAAGAATTTAGGAGACCAGCAGTTGTTCTAATTATGAGAAGGTCTGTTAGCTGACAAAATCTTTGCTACCTGGGCTCAATTCAGCCAACTCTTCGCTGTGATCTGTTACTGCAATAACATTTCTTTGCAAAGAGAAGCCCGAGGTGCTAGGATCTGTGTTTTTAATGTCAGCACCACAAATAACTGTGTAAGACACATTTTTGAGTGCTGGCAAATTCTTAACCCCTTGCCACTGATGTAAATCATCACACACTATTTTATCTTATGCTTCAAGCTTGATTACTGACAGCAGAGGGTTTTAAATCATCCTGAAGTACCATAAGACATTCATATGTTTCATATTAGATCCCTACTACACCCTCTGCATGGTGGAAAGTGATGCAAAATGAGTGCTGTGGCTGTAGGTGCATTGTGTGCATACGCTGTCTTTGCAGTCCACATCCACTCGCCCACTGTTCAGCAGCAGCTGGAGGAGAGCCAGGTTTCCTTTTCTTGCAGCCCAAAATGCAGCATTGGCAAGTGGTGTTTCTTTCTGGCAGAAAAAAAGGAAAAGGAAAACAAAAAAAGAAAGCAGAAATAAATCACTTTGGAAAATACACTCGGCAAGCATACACATCGCATACATTCTGCATTCAAGCCAGGAAAGTTTCAGCTTAGTGTGCTGTTCTTTCAAAGCCAGAGCATGGAAGGGAAAGCTAATTTAATTTCTTTTGGCAATTACAGAGACCAGTCTTCCTGTGCTTGAGGAAGGACAGGAAGACTATTATTTCAAGTCTTATGTCCGTGGTAGCCTATGTCTCTTAGATTGCCCTGTGATGAGAAAGGATGATGCTAGGCCAGATCCACAAGGAAACATCGCAGAAAACAACATGCTCAGTGATGTCTGTATTGTCTGCTTCTGTGGTGGGGCTGGCCACAGTTAAGCTGAAGCATCCTGCTGACGTCCTGCTGCAGGACATCCTCTTGGGTTTCAGATTAGCTCTCTGTAATCTCCTACTTTTCTGCACACAAAGTTCCAATACAGGAAAAGAATTGCTCATGCATCTCCCAGACTACTTGTTCTACCTCCTGCCTGGAATTAACACCCTGGGACTGTGGGCATGTGCAATATCTCCTGGGTAGGAGTGAAAGATGACTGCTCCAGCACAGGAAAGGGACAGAAAGAAAAGACATGGACTTTGCTTCTACCCTCTTTATGTAATCCATGCAGACAGCTGCCAATATTCTGCCTTGACAAGTAAGCACCGTCAAGGGTGAAGTGTGGGGGGAAACACTATGATGGTAATGATACAAATCCTAGAGCAGGCTCGTGCTGCTGATTTTTTAAGAAGAGCCCAAACCACCTACAGAGGTGTAAAACATCACTTCACCAACAGTCACACTAAAGCAGAGTCAAAAATACCCAGGGGCATTGCTTTGCAGTGAACCCTGCCTTCAGGATCACCCAAAGAGAGTGCAGAGTGATATTAAAGTCAATCCTTCAGCTTCAGAAATGGCATAGGCACTTCTTGTCTAAATGTCAATGTGCACATGTAATGAGGCAGGGAATCAGGATTCAATAGTTTTATGCTTTATATTTAAAATGCACATATACAGCAAAGTTTAAATTGCTTCCTTCACTGACATGAAGACAATAAACTTCAGAGAAATCAGTAGATACAAGAATCATGAATCTGAATTTCTCTCAGGTCTGTCACACTGAGCACTTTTCCTGGGTTGCATTTTTAATATTAATATGTTGGGAAATTGTCAGCTGTTTCAGATGAGAGATATTCCAACCATTCAGTAAATTATAAGTCACTTCCTATAAATTGATAGTAGTATTTCTTGTGCACGCAGGGGCAGGAGTGTGAAAATTTTAGCAAGCACAATAAGCTAAATTCTGATCTTCTTTTCACAGCTATTGCATTTCCCTGGAGAATCTGTAAATAATGTTGATTAAAGTAGAGACAGCAGTTTATACCCTTCTTGTTGGCAACACTGTAGTGTCTTCCTATCTTTACCCTTACAACCACTAAAATTTTATGTAAAAACAATTGACCTAAACACACAGAGGCTCATGTTGCCCTTTCTGCTCTGATTTACTAGATAGATATTTATTTATAGAGATGGCAGTTAGGAATATTGTCCTATTGGCTTTGTTATTATGATATTCACTGGAAAGCTACTGGAAAATAATTATGTTTAGACCTTACAGAATGGACAATCAAATTCCTTACCTTTTATTGTCCCAAACTATCCCTTAAAGTCTTAGGAAGTTTAGAGGTATGGCAATACATCCATAAAGGGAAAGATTTATTTAATCCACCCCAGTCTTAACTACAAGGGCATAGGAGCAGACTGAATTATATTATTGCTCATCATACAGTACCACTTTCACTGGTCAGTGAGGCAGGAACTGGAATCCATATTCAGGAACTTCTTACCTGCTTTCATCAGTTCATGTGAGAAGAGAACTAAATGTCCAGTGTGACCCTGGATGGGAAGTAGAAGTTCAAAGTCTTTGGACTTTTGAGTCATAAAATCCTACCTCTTTTTTCTGCCCTCTAAGTCCTACAGTAGCTCTTCAGCAGAGTTGTCCTTATACTTTTGATCAGACCCAAGGAATGGAAGAATTCTTCAGTGCACCAAGGACACAAAACTAAGTTTTTTCCCATTTAAACTGATTCCTATTAAGCACTTTTACTTCTCCTTGTGCCCCTGCATTGCTTGGGATTCCTCATATAAAAGTAGAGTATACAGTACAGTCAGAGCATCAACCATCCATGATTAGATTAAAAAATCAGATGCAAATCTGAGCTACTGTATGTGCTAAGGTGAATGAAAGTGCAAAATAATTCAGATTATCTGGGCACCTTACAAGAACAGCCTTATCGTGTACCATGTGGCAGTTTATATCTCTGGACTATAGCTCTGTAATCTAATCCAATTAATTGAATTATTTTTGAGCAATAAATGAGTTTATAGCTTCAGGATGTGACTGCTGTTGTTTGGTTATGAACTCAGTCATGTCTCATCAGATACTTCCTAGGGAGAGGTAATGTTGAATTTCAAAAGATTAATCAGACAAACTTTTTAATGTAATTCTTATTATAAAGCTAGTCTGCTCTCAAAGCATCCTCAAAGTAAACAACTGATCCTCAGCACTGACAGTCTGGGAGCAGAATGTAATAAACATTTGAAAATTTTTAGCTAATAGCTTTCATGAAAATTCCTTTTTTCATGATGTCACTTGTGCCAGGATCAGCAACTTTCAGGATAAAAGTTCCTTCACTTCATCAAGTTCTCTAAAGTATTATTTTAAAATCTAGCTGTGCTGATAATTTTGATTGTTTATATGCTTTTATGATAGCCCAAAGATGAAAAGCTGGCATTATATTCATGCTGTACTGCCATTAAAAAAAACACTTTTTCAAAAATTGGCCTAGAGGAAAATAGATACTATAAATCTGACAAAACCATTTTTCTGCAGGGATACAGAAAAAAATTAATTGTGCTAAAGTATCTATGTCATTTCAGGAATATTGAGGGGGAAAGTATAATTTAAATGCTATACCCGCCCTCCTGCTCCCTGCCCTAACTTTGATTTGCTGTTTGCAGAGAAAGGGCAGGTGACAGTGGTGTGACCGCTGGGGAGGAATAGTGCAGTTCTTAAACAGGGATCTTGCAGATGAAGGAAAACAGGCAAAGGACACAGAGAAAGAAAAGAAAGGAGAAAGAGAATGCTAGTCTGCCCACTGGCTTGTTCCTTAGGCTGGCAAAATACAATTTCCCTTTTCTTTCTTAGTTTTCAAACCAGTCCTATTGCAAAGAAGGAATTGAGTAAAAAGTTTAAAGAAGAAGAACTGGAAATCAGGATCAAGCATGATGGAAAAGGCTAGTGCAACTTAGGAGCAGAGTTCTTTTTTAGATAGCAATATGTCATACATGAAGTATCCTGATAAAAAGGAAAGCTGACTTAATATATAAATGTTGTTTAGTCAGGCAAAATGTGACAGAAGAGAGGATATTTGTGTGAAAAGGAAGGATAAATGCAATGCCGTGGGTAAGTAGGATAATAAGATGGAAAATGTGAACAGCCAGTGGCAAACAGTAAGAATCCAAGTTAAGTTCATGTTCTGAGAGAAAGAGAAAATGTTAAACAAAATGTCACAGAAAAGGGAGAGAAAACAGAGAGGGAGGTATGGTCTGCAGTTCTTCAGATGGAGGGGAAAGCAGTGCTACTTAAGAGCTACTTAGAACAGGAAAATTTGAGGGACTACAGTGCAAGAAATAGGGCACAGAAAAGGAGCTGTTAGGGACAGAATGGAAAGTAAGACCTGAAGAACAAGTTAAATAAACAAGGAGACCAAAAAAA